TGTGTGTATGTGTGTGATGGAATACTACTCAGCCTTAAAAAAGAACAAAATAATGGCATTCACAGCAACCTGGATGGAATTGGAGACCATTATTCCAAGTGAAGTAACTCAGGAATGGAAAACCAAATATCGTACATTCTCACTCATAAGTGAAAGCTAAGCTGTGAGGATGCAAAGGCCTAAGAATGATAAAATGGATTTTGGGGACTTGGAAGAAACTGTGGGAGGGGAGTGAAGAATGAAAGACTACAAATTGGGTACAGTGTATACTTCTCTGGTAATGAGTGCACCAAAATCTCACAAATCAGTACTAAAGAATGTATGTAGCGAAACCACCTGTTCCCCAAGAACCTATGGAAAATTAAAAATTTTTAAAAGACATAATCAAGCTTGAAGGTGAGTGTTAATTTTAAAGTTTGGATAGTGTCAGTTTGAAATAATTATTTGTTGGCTCAAGCAAATTAATATTAGGGCTGGAATGAGGTTGGTTGTAAAAGTGTATGAAATAGAGGTTTTTACATAGGTTAGAAATAAGTTTACAAACAGTAGTTACAGCAATTGGTAGAATTAGGAGGATCAGTGAAATTGTGATAAATTAAAAAAAATACATTTATTTACTTTTATTTGGAGTTGTACCAATTTTTTGGCTCCTAAGGTCAACAGGTTACTTTTAACCTTTAAAAGTTGAGAAAGCCATATTGTTATCCATGGGAGCACAAGTTAGTAGTTCTTGCACACTTTCTCAGAAAATAAGAAGTTTTAATTTTCTGCTATTACATTTATAACATAACATTTTATTTAAACTATATTTACAGCATATGGGTCCTCGAATGATTCTTGTGTTAAGTGAGAATCAACTCAAACCCATTTTTGGGTTTAAGTGCAGGCTTAAACTCCTGGGCTCAAGCAATCCTCCCACTTTAGCCTCGCAAGTATCTGGGACTACAAGCACATGCCACTCCTAGCTCCAGGTGACTCAGAATAAATAGAGATACTCCATTTGTTTGGGAAAAAGTAACGTAAGAGAACAAGTCTCTGTCTGGTAATCCAGAGAATTCTTCCAGATTGTGTCCAAGACCATCAAGGTGGTACCTCTACGAGTCCACAAGAACCATAGCATTATTGGGTTTGGGGTCCCACCCAAGGTAGATACAGTTTAGATCACAACATTCAAGTCCTTTTGGAAAGCCTTCTCAAAAAGAATGGGTCAAAATAAGCCCAAACTGAAGAGTACAATAAATACTTAACTCTGCAATGCCCAGACACAGACAAACATCTACAAGTATCAAGACCAGCCAGGAAAACATGACCTCACCAAATGAACTAAATAAGGTCACATATCTCTATTTCTCCAGGATTAGTCTCTGGAAACATACTTCACCTAGAAAGGCACATATAGGCTGAAAATAA